AAGATGGATGGATGGAGGGATGGATGGATGGAGGGATGATGGGTGGATGGATGGAGGGATGGAGGGATGGATGATGGGTGGATGAATGTGTAAGTAGGGAGGGAGGGAGGTGGATGGATGGATGGATGGAGGGAGGGGTGGAGGGATAGATGGATGATGGGTGGATGAATGTGTAAGTAGGGACGGAGGGAGGTGGATGGATGGATGGAGGGATGGATGGATGGATGGATGATGGGTGGAGGGATGGAGGGATGATGGGTGGATGAATGTGTAAGTAGGGAATTGAGGTAGATGGATGGAGGGAGGGATGGATGGATGATGGGTGGATGAATGTGTAAATAGGGAGGGAGGGAGGTGGATGGATGGATGGAGGGAGGGATGGAGGGATGGGTGCATGATGGGTGGATGAGTGTGTAGGTAGGGAGGTAGGTAGATGGATGGTGGAAGAACCTGAGTTCTGGTCCTGATATTGCCGTTAACTTGTTATGTGATCTTAGGCCATTCTCCCTGTTGCTTTATTTGTAAAATGAATGGATTGAATTTAAGAATCTCCAAGATTTCTCCTAGATTTTCTGTTGGACAGTCTATGATGATTAAAAGTTTTCCAGGAAAGCTAACGAAGGAAAGGCCCGAGAGAGTGAAGGGAAAAGTTCTGTGACCTGGGGGGAGGCACACGGCTTTTCTGTTGGACAGTCTATGATGATTAAAAGTTTTCCGGGAAAGCTAATGAAGGAAAGGCCCGAGAGAGTGAAGGGGAAAAGGTCTGTGACCTGGGGGGAGGCACACGGTAAATCAGCTGGGACCATGACCACAGGACTCAGCCTGTGTCTACACCTTGGACCTGCTTCTGCCCCTGCCTTCTGCTCTGCCTCCTGCCCCACCCGCCACAATCCGGGCTATCGCTATCGCTATCGCTATCGTTCAGATAACTTCTCTTCCAGGGGCCTGAGGAAGAGATCTGAGGGGAGGGGAGGGGCCAGAGGCCAGGAGCAGGTAGCCATTGCTGGCTCCCTGGCCTCCACCAACCTGAACCTCTTACCCATGGTCTTTCTCCGTCTGCCCCTTTGTTCTCCCCAGCTCTCTTGAGCCATGGCTTCTTCAAAGCTCCGAGAACCCGCTGATGAGGTTTTTGGTAAGTTCTGTTTGGCTCTATCTCTCGCCACCTGGCCCTTGGTGTGGGGTGGCAGGGAGGAGTCCCTTGGGGACTTTAGTGTGTGTGTGTGAAGTGTGTATGTTGTGGTTGTACAGCCTGATTCTTTGTCACACATCTGGACATGGCAATTACAACAGCAGCAATATTAATAAGGATCCTCTTTATAAGTGCTGTCTCGTGCCAGGCACTAAGGCCAGCACCCCCATCTCACATGCACGTCTCATTGAATCCTCACACTAATGCTAGGGAGTGTGTCCATTTTACAGACAAGGAGCTCGGGCACAGTGCTGGAGTGACTTGCTTTAAAGATCACATGGTAGGTTCATGGCAGAGCTGGGACTCCAGGCTGCCAATTCCCTGCTCTCAGTCACGGTGCGGTACACCTGTACCCGCCAGGACAGGGGACACACATCACTTTTAATTTGCATACACAAGGGACCTCACTGCATGGATGTACCCAGAACTCAAATGCATAACATGCAGTCTCAGTACACACCGGGGTGCGTGCACTCACCTGCCTGCGCCGTCCTTTACCCCCTGCGACCTTTCTATTGTATGAATTGGAGACAGACAACCAGCAGGGCAGAGTTCCCAGCATACAGTGGGGTGGAAAGGCTGTTTCCCAGCTGGAATTGGTGCAGGAGTCAGTGAGCAAGGGAACATGGAGGAGAGGTGGAGACAGACAGAAGCGCCTGACGCCTGTAACGTGTGCAGCTTTCAGAACTCACATTGGTGTGCATGACCTTGAGGGGCTCCTGGGTGTGGAAGGCCACAGGGCCTCCCAGCTTTTCCTCCCCTGACTTCTCCTCATCTCCACCTTCCTTCCCTTTCCTCCTCCCCCTCCCCTGCTCACCTCCTTCTCCCCTGTCCCTGCCACATGCCCTGGCCATGCCAGGAACTGCCGCCTCCCTGCTCCTGGGGGATGCTGCTTTCCACTCACCCTCCCTGGGACCTGTGGAGGGTTTGCCTCTGAGTGACCCCCACTC